TTTCTCTGAAGAAGGGTCTAGGCCCGAAACGTCAGCCTTCCTGCTCCTCTGATGCTGCTTGGCCTGCTGTGTTCATCCAGCTCTACACCTTGTTATCTCAGATTCTCCAGCATCTGCAGTTCCTACTATCTCTGAAACATTACCTTTGGGGTTCTGCTTTTTGATTTAGACCTTTTCTGTTCATATTCCCCATTCAGAACATCTTTTCTGGTCCTATTTATGTCATTGGAATCCTCATGGACAACCAGACCCACACTCACCTCAAGTACCTGTCTCGCCCAGAGTTCGGAACCTTGGCACAGAGCAAGCAACACAGGATTCTGGATGTTTGCTCTCTGCTGCTGGGACTTGTGTTTATCCCCTGACCACACTGTTCCCACTGTCACAACGATGCTATTTACTGCTTCTGCTTGAATGGCTTTCTCTACCATGGAACAGTGGTCAGTTTACTTATCTTCCCTGCTGTTTTCCATACATGCAAAAGAACCTCAAACCTGATGGACAACTGAAAGTGTCAAGGCTCCTCTACTTCTACCTTCTCAATGCACTTCCTGCCTGATTCTCAGTCATATTGCCCAAAACAGAAGTCCCTATTCTGAGGGGTATGACTGCCCTAAAGTGGCTGTACTTTTAGGTGTGGGAGGATTGAGACATATTGTCTAACTTAATAATAAATGACTGTGGAGCATCCCCCCTGCATAATCTACGTTACACCCGCAGTATATCAGTGGTTGCCAGAAAATTAATGTAAATGGATGTGGTATTGATCAAGCTTTGTCCTAGATAGTTAAATTGTTTACAACTGTATTCATAAAACATGTAGAAAGCACTCCATCGCGCTTCTGACTTGTGCTTTGTAGTTGATGTAGTTTGTTGAGATAGGAGGTGAATTATTGGCAGTCAAGATGGCTAGCCTGTAATTGATTTGGTAATAGCTGTATTTATATGGCAGGCTGTGTTAGCTTCCTGTCAATGCTGACCACTAGGGTGTTAATGATGAGAGGACACAGTGATTGCAATCCCATTGAATAATACAGGAAGATGTTCACAGAATCGTCGGAGGATACATTGTATAAGAAGACCATTTACCACACTGTGCTTGTGGAAGATCAGTGGTTAGGCAAAGCAATTGACTCACTTCATCCAGCTCTGCACCTTGTTGTCTCTGACTCACTTCCCTTCTCCTTTCCCACAGCCTTGCTACTCCTTTCCCTTTGTCTGCGTATCAAATGTCCTGTGAGTGTTACTCACAAACCTTCTGCCAGTGCCCCCTGAGGCAGTGAAGGTGTACCCCATTGAGATCCCCTCCTCTTCTTCAAAGGCATCTGAGTGACCCTCCGTCTCTCCAGCTCTTTTCTGTTTAGCCAGACCCTTAACCGCATGACAGAGCAGATAAATTCAAGGCCTATTGTTACAGTGTTAACACAGTGTGGAGCTGGAGGAACACAGCAGGTCAGGCAGCATCAAAGGAGCAGGAAAGCTGATATTTCAGGTCAGGACCCTTCTTCAGAAATAAGGGTTGTAGCCCGAAATGTCAACTTTCCTGCTCCTCTGAAGCTGCCTGGCCTGCTGTGTTCATCCAGCTCTACACCTTGTTATCTCAGACTCCAGCATCGTCAGTTCTTACTTTATCTATGGTTACAGTGTGTCTGCTGGTTATTACATGAGTACTATGCCCCCTCAAGTTGTCACATCAATTCTTGGGTCCTCTGAGCAATACCACTTCACCCTCTTGAGTGAGCACTCCTGCCTCCTCATCAGTGATCGAGTGTCTGCCATGGTGTCTTTTGTTATCCATGCTCTCCATTGGGGTCAGGCTGGGCAGCAGCCCCCTCTTCATACTGTTATGATATAGTTTTCTTGTCTTCTTTTACACGTGAAAGCCAATGAACACAGGCAGTTTCCCCTTTGGAGACAAGCACAGCACCTATGCCTGAGAGAGAACAGCAGAGCGTATTGGCCCATGAATGCCTCATGCAAGTTGCCATTCTTGAGCCAGTTCATGTCAACTTCTGTGCCCTCACAGGTTGAGCTCCACTCCTTTTCTTACTTTTCATTGCCAGCTCCTGAAAGATTGTGGACAGTCAGCTGATCCCTGGCCGAACCCTCTTCAGTTCCCAATGTTAGGATACTTAATGTGTTACTGAGCACACCTTCCATTAACGGAACCAGGTCCCAGCCTTTAGCACCAGCATGCAACTCTGTCAGTATTGTTTCTAAAGGACAGACTGCTTCATCTACCTTCCTCTGGATCAGCTCTCATTTCCCACCTCTGACTTGTTATCAATGACACCATGATTGGATTGGCCTCCCCTTGGTTCTGTCAATGGTGGATCATTCACTGCTGGGGAACCTGTCGATTCCCTTTTCTGTCTTTGCTGGGGCTCTGTCTCACAGCATCAGCATCCCACAGGCAAACGTAGAAGATGGGAGCAACAGGAGGCCATTTGGCCTTTTGAGCCTGCTCCGCCATTCATCACGATCATAGCTGATTGTACAACTCAATAGCCTAATCCTGCTTTAGAACATAGAACATAGAACAGTACAGCACAGTACAGGCCTTTTGGCCCATGATGCTGTGCCGACCTATTATCCTACTTCATGATCAAACTAACCTGCATACCCTTCATTTTACTATCATCCATGTGCCTATCCAAGAGTCGCTTAAATGTCCGTAATGTATCTGACTCCTCTACCACTGCCGGCAGCACATTCCACGCACCCACCACTCTCTGTGTAAAGAACCTACCTCGGACATCTCCCCCATACCTTCCTCCAATCACCTTATAATTATGCTCCCTCGTGATAGTCATTTCCGCCCTGGGAAAAAGTTTCTGACTATCTATTCTATCTATGCCTCTCATCATCTTGTACACCTCTATTAAGTCACCTCCCATCCTTCTTCGCTCCAATGAGAAAAGCCCTAGCTCCCTCAACCTTTCCTCATAAGACCTGCCCTCCAGTCCAGGCAGCATCCTGGTAATCCTCCTCTGCACCCTCTCTAAAGCTTCCACATCCTTCCTATAATGAGGCGACCAGAACTGAACACAATATTCCATGTGTGGTCTAACCAGAGTTTCATAGAGCTGCAGCATAACCTTGCGGCTCTTAAACTCAATCCCTCTGCCAATGAAAACCAATGCTTTCTCCCCATAAGCTTTGATCCAATTCACCCAAGTGCTATATCTAGTCGCCTCTTGAATACATTCAATGTTTTGGCATCAGCTGCTTCCTGTGGTAATGAATTCCACAGGCTCACCACTCTTTGCATGAAGAAATGTCTCCTCATCTCCGTCCTAAATGGTCTACCCCGAATCCTAAGTCTGTGACCCCTGGTTCTGGACACAGCCACCAATGGGAATATCCACCCTGCATCTACCCTGTCTAGTCCTGTTAGAATTTTATAAGCCTCTATGAGATTCCCCCCTCATTCATCTGAACTCCAGTGAAAACAATCCTAACCTAGTCAATCGCTCCTCATAAGTCAGACCCGCCATCCCCGGAATCAGCCCGGTAAACCTTTGCTGCACTCCCTCGAGAGCAAGAGTATCTTTCCTCAGAAAAGGAGACCAAAACTGCACACAATATTCTAGGTTTGGTCTCACCAAGGCCCTGCACACCTGCAACAACACATCCCTGCTCCTGTACTCAAAACCTCTCGCAATGAAAGCCAATATACCATTTGCCTTCTTTACCGCCTGCTGCACCTGCATGCTTACCTTCAGCGACTGGTGCACAAGGACACACAGGTCCCACTGCATATCCCCCTCCCAGTTTACAGCCATTCCGGTAGTAATCTGACTTCTTATTTTTGCCTCCAAAGTGAATAGCCTCACATTTATCCAAATTATACCAGGAAGGTGGATGGGGATGTCACATCCGTTTTGTCAATCATAGCATTTCCAGTTAAGGAACTTGGACAAAGGTTGGAATGGCTCAACTTATTGTGGATTTTGAGGCTGCTACCACCACAGAATGGGGAGAAGTCGCAGGTAGGCTAAGTCCCTTGCTCCTCGATGCTTATCCTGTTGCAGGATCTGAGGAATGACAGTGTGGAGTGTTCTCAAAAACACTGGAGGAAGGGGACAGTGTCTTTGAGCATGGATGGAAGCCAGCAGCAGGAGTGTGCTCTCACCAGCCATCAAGGAGATTTGAGATCTCAGGAGGGGGTCAAGAAGTCAAAGGGACAACACTTCCGTGTGCCGAGCCTCACATACTTAATCATATTCTCTTGAGCAGCAATGCGCACAGTGACACGCCTTCTAGCTTCATCCATTCCTCTCTTGAGGTGCCTCACATCTCCATTGAATCACTCTCCCCCTCAACTCATTGTCCTCTCATGCTCATACCTCCCTCCATCCTCTCTGTACAAGTAGGACAGCACAGTGACTCAGTGTTTCGCTCTGCTGCCTCACAGCACCAGAGACTCAGATTCAATTCCAGCCTCAGGTGGAGTCTGTGGTGGAGTTTGCACGTTCTACCTGTGTCTGCATGGGTTTCCTCCGAGTGCTCCAATTTCCTCCCACAGTCCAAAGATGTGCAGCTTAGGTGGATTGGCCACGGGAAATGCAGCGTTACAGAAATAAGGTAGGGAGGTGGGTTTAGGTGGGATGCTCTTCAGAGGGGCATTGTGGACTCAAGTTGCAACTTGAAGTCATATTGTTCTGTCAACAATAGTATTTATTTCCACAGGAATAATGTGACTTGAAATGTTCAGTGACTTAACTTCCAACTCAAAAAATCATGAATAATTCTAATGTCTCTGCAATGTACTTCAGCTTTCCCTTACTATTTTCCAGGTGTGTTTCTAATTCCCTACACAATCATGCTGGCTTTCATTGCGATGCCTATGTTTTACTTGGAGAGTTCCTTTGGGCAGTTTGCCAGTCTTGGACCTGTTGCAGTGTGGAAAGCCGTGCCCATGTTACAAGGTTAATGTTTATTCAGCAACTTGAGCTTGTTAAAGGTAGAAATATAGTGTTTAATTCATGTTAGTAAATGGAGTTTGAGGCCAGCCTTGCTTGATATCCTTTATGCAATCTGATCTGGATTCGGTTTTGTGAAGACAGACATAGCCATATGGGGCGACATTGTAAACTTTCCACTGTACTCCCATACTTCCGTACTTGAGTACACACAACAATAAAGGATATTATAATTCTCATTCTAATTCTAAACATTTCTAATTCTAAAATGAACAGACTGATGCCGCAAATGTAGTGTTTCTTTCACTATCCGTTTAGTTAACTATTAAATCTGTGGAATTTGTTACTCAGTCACCAGCATCAATAATGTTTCTGTGCTTCATTTGTTATGATAACATTTTCAGTATTTATAATGGGAGTGATAGCTCCTTGAAGTTTTCATTGTTTTACTTAAGTACAGTAGAGTTGCTGAAAAGAATATATATGTTAGAAGTATCTTTCATTGGTGCAAAGTGGAGAAGCAAATTCAAACTCTGATTGTGCCTGTCTGTTGAGAAACATTAGCGGGAAAAGTTAACAAATTAAAAGTTTTGAGAGGAAGAAATTTTAATAAAAAACAGTCCAAATCTAACAGGTCATCGACACGGCAGTCCCTGAAGAACAAAGAAAAGTAACGGACAAAGATCCTGTCACTGATTGCCAACTCTTCTAACACAATTGGGATACGTTAGATCAGGGAAGGACAATGTCCAGCTAGGATGTTTCTCTTGGTTAATGGTTAACGATGTTTAAGGTTTAGGATCTTCGTTGTAAAATTTTAATTTGGACTAATGACCAGTGGGTGTACATCATCCACTGGGAAAAAAAAACTCTGGGTTGAAACCCCAGCAAGATGGGAAAAATAGCAAGAAGAGAACTTGTGTTATTTAATTAATTTATTATTTGCTTTGAGATTCAGAAAATGATAAGGAGATCAAATTTTTTCATTTTAATTCATTCGTGGGACATAGGTGTTGCTGGCTAGGCCATCATTTATTGCCCATTCCTAATTGGTCAGAGGACAGTTAAGAGTCAACCACATTGCTGTGGGTAGGGTTTCCCATGTAGATCAGACGAGGTAAAGGTGGCAGTTTCCTTCCTTAAAGGACATTCATGAAACAGTTGGGTCTTTACAATTGACAATGGTTTCATTGGACAATAGTCATCTGACCTTGGACTGAGATGAAGAGGCATTTCTTCACTCAGTAGGTGGTGAATCTTTGGGATTCTCTACTCTAGAGGACCACAGAGGCTGAGTCATTCAGTACGGTCAATACTGAAATTGTTAGAATTGTACATTTAAAAACATCAAATGATATGGAAATAGATCAGTAAAATGATGTTGAAATAGACATTTATCATAATCTCATTACATGGAGCAGAATTGAGGGGCTGAATGGCCTACTTCTGTTCCTATTTTCTAAGTTGTCATGTTGTTTATACATTTTGCTAAGAAGTCTGATTTCTTACTAGGATGTAAATGAAGCTTCCGTATTTTAAAATTAACAATTGTAGATTTTGTCCATTGTAGTAAAGTGCTTGGCAATTTCCCCAGCTATGAAATAATTCTGGAGCAACATGAAGATGCAGTGGAATAGTTATAATAACTAATTGCAACTAAAGAGAATTGGTTTCTCCGACAAGTGGAATGCATTTGTAATAAATCTTTTCAATTGTAAATAGTTTCTAATTAATATTCCTGTTCCTCATTCGAATTCAAGGTGTGGGGTTTACGATGGTCCTATTCAGTACAATTATAGACATCACTTACAACTGCATCATCGGCTACAGTCTGTACTACCTGTTTGCTTCCTTCCAATCTCCCCTGCCGTGGGCAGATTGCTTCAGGTGGTGGGGAGCAGATGAAACATGCAGCAGGACTCCCAAAGGTATAGTGCTCACTTCTATTGGCGAAACTATAGGCACCTTAGGCTGATAGCTACTTGCACCTGGTTATACTTCAGTCTCTGAGACATGAGTTGTTTTCATCAACAAATAGAGTCTTTTACTATTCGTCCATCTGTTCACAGAGCTCCCAGCTCGGAACATATATTGTTACTGTTGAACTTTGTTCAAAGAGAGTGATGCGACAGGATCTTTGCGCAGGAATTGCTGGCTGTCTGCACATTGAGGGGCTTCTGACACGAGTTTCTCTCATGTCTGCTGCCGCAATTGGTCCGCACAGTCTGAGGAAGGCAGCAAATCTATCGCTCAAAGTGCTCATCGTTTCAATGGTCAAATCTTCCAGCTATTGCATTGTCAGGCATATGCAGGAATTGCACTTACGATGGTGACAAGGAACCAGTGAATTGCCCATCGTAAGTGTACAGTCATCCTTTGCGATATCACGGACATTGTGCTAGAGTGAGGAAACTACTTAACCGCATACTCACCCAGGGAATGTTGGATAGATTCAAACTTGCTCCAACAACTGGGTATCTAAATAACTGGACTGTCTTTCCACACTGTATGAATTCTATAATTCTATGATTCTATATCAAACTCAAATGACTAGAACTACCCTGCAGACCCTGACCACCTTGTCTGACTATCTAATACCACCCAACCTCCCATAGTGTGACTACCCTGACCCAGTCTGTCTACCCCTTCCAATCACCAGACTGACCTGTTACCAGGTATAACCATATTTCTGAACTACTCTGACTCCCTTCCTGATCTGACCTGACTAACCACCTGACAAACTGGGACCATGACCAAACCTCTCTTCCTGTCCCTCAACCTACTCTATTTGCCTTTCTACTCACTGCACCCACTTAGAGTCCTAGAGTCATACTGCATGAAAACAGACCCTTCAGTCCAATTAGTCCACACTGTCCATGCTGTCAACTTAAACTATTCACACCTGCCTGTGCTTGGCCTATATGCCTCCAAAGCTTTCCTATTGATGAAATTGTCCAAATGTCTTTTAAGCATTTTAACTGTGCTTGCCTCCACAACATTTTCTGGCAGTTCATTCGGCACGCAAACCACCCACACTGTGTAAAATAGTTGCCCCTCAAGTCCTTTTTAAATCTTTCTCCTCTCACCTTAAAAGGGTCTTTTCCTCAGCATATTTCATAAAAATATGTCCCCAGCTTTTGAACTCCCCCACCCTGGGAAAAAGACTCTTGTCATTCACCTTATCTATGCCCCTCATGATTTTATGAACATCAATAAGGTCAGCCCTTAACTTCCAGTGGGAACAGGTGTCAGCCCTTCCAGTCTATTTTCATGACTCAAACCCTCCATTCCCAGCAACATCCTGGTAATTCTTTTCTGAAACCCCTCCAATTTTATAATATCCTTCCGCTAACAGGGCAACCAGAACGGGACACAGTACTCCAGAAGAGGCCCCAACAATGTCCAACAACCTCAGCATGATGTCCCGACTCCTATACTCAATGGTCTGAGCAATGAAGGCTAAATGCCTTCTTAAGCACACTGTCTACCTGTGATGCAAGTTTCAAAAACTTATGCACCTGAGCCCCAACCTCCTTACCTAGCTCACCTACATGACTACCAACTGTCTCAAAACGTACTGATCTAACCAGCCTACTCACCACTTACGCATCCTCCCCCCACCACTTACACATCAACCTACTGACCCAGATCATCCTTCTACCCATTTTCCTGGTTCATTTACTTGCCTACTTTGCCTACCTATCCACTTAATCAGCTTTCACATCCATCCACAGCATGTACCTACCTATTGACTGAATTGCTAGGCAACTAATATGATACTCAACATAAAAGATATCTCCCAACGCTCTGTCATATGATTAAAAGTGCAGCATTGTCTTTACATAGAATGATAGAATCCCTACAGTTTGGAAACAGGCCCTTTGGCCCAACAAGTCCACACCGACCCTCAGACCCAGCCCTATAACCCACCTAATCTACACATCCCTGAACACTATGGGCAATTTAGCATGGCCAATCCACCTAGCCTGCATTTCTTTGGACTGTGGGAGGAAACTGGAGCACCAGGAGGAAACCCACGCCGACACGGGGAGAATGTGCAAACTCCACATAGACAGTCGCCCAAGGGTGGAATCAAACCCACGTCCCTGGTGCTGTGAGGCAGCAGTGCTAACCACTGAGCTGCCGTGCCGCCCTCCCATGAAATTCTGCATCCATAGTTCATATTTCAATATACATTGATGACCCACTTTGATAATCAGATTAAAGGAATTCATAATACTTTAATGTTGGGCTTTGTGATTAAAGGGGTAGACGGACTGGGTCAGGGTAATCATACTAAGATTTGCAATTACATGTAGAGCAAGAGCCAGAGCTGGACTGTGCTGTGTGTGGAATAAACTGATTGTGCTTCTCTGTCTGACTCATCTGTAACTTTACCCATGTACTCCAAGTGAATGGAATGATTCAGTTAGAGTGAAACAGTGACCCTGATTATATCACTAGAAATGACAGCATTGTTCCCAGTGAAGTGTAATTCTAAAACACATTCCAAATTTTCCAGATCCACTCTGCAATCTCACTCTGGATGATGGATATTTTGAAATCATTAATACAACATGGCTGCAGGCAAACAATGAAACTTGTCCGAATGGATCAGAAATCTTTATTCCTCACCAGAGTCCAAGTGAGCAATACTGGGAGTAAGTACATTGCTGCAGAGAGCTGTACCTATAACCTACACAGCTGGGCCAGTAACTCCTTGGTTAGTTGGTGACTGTTCTGTTTATTGAGAGCGAAGCTGTTTGATTTCGATAGATATATAATTTACATCATGCATTCTTAACAAATCAGGGGTCCCTTTTTTTCAGGTAACTGCAGGCAAACATTTATTTTTGTATTTTGTGTTCTTTACAGAAAAGATTCACATCAGAATTGCAGAATACTAAACAGTTGAAATTATCTGTGACGGATATCCCTTCCTCTGTGTTTTTATTTGGATGCAGTTTTGGGTTTAACCCATGGTCCTGGGAAATGAACTGTAGAACAACTGTCTGGGTGCAGATGTTGTGTTTAACACTATGAAAGAGTTGAATTCGTTAGGAGAAATAGTGTGGAATTTTAATGTAACTGAACCGCTCTTCCCCGGGATTAAGAGAAGGGTGATTCTTATAGTGGACGGGGAACACAATTTGTGCAGCAGTGAGCACAGTGTTTAACATACCGTTTTTGGGTTTGTTGACCAATCACTGAATGTGGGTAGAACCATGACCTTCACCAGCTAACTGATAATATTCTTGTTAAAATGAAGGGGAACCCATCAGGAGTCCTTGCGATTTTAGCAGCTATATCAATGGAAGGGAGAGGTGGCAAAGCTGCTCCCTTTCTCTTCCACCCCTCACCCTCCTCCACCTCAGCTACCTGCGATTGACATTTTCTTGAAAGTTCTGGTGCATTATCTGAAGGACTACAAAGATGTGTTTCTTACTGTGGATACGAGGGAGAGGCCAACTCTTAGACCAAGCACACGGATGGAAATGGACAGAACAAGCACTGTCACTTGAAACTGGATTCAGAGTCATAAGAGGTTCATTCATGAGGGCAGGAGAAGTGAGTACCAATGCACATACAGTTGTTGACATTTGCACATCTATTCTCAAAGCATTCCCCTGCAAAGCATTCCCTCTCTCTCAAAGAAGTTCATCACATTCTCAGAGGCTAACACTTGCACTCATTCTGAGATTTATGCCATCTCCCAAACATGCTTTGTTTGTTCTTGGTTGTTTAGCACTTTGCTAAAATACAGCAGCGTTCACCAGCTTTTGGCTTGTGAGGCAGTGCGTGTGCATCATAAGAACTGAAATGGAGAAGTGTAACATGGAGGTGAGGCCTCTGCTGGTGCTTTCACTTCCCGACCTCTGCTTGTATTCAGAGCCCACCATGCTGCTACTTGCCTTGGTCAATGATCCAAGGTAATGGTTCTGAAAGGGTTATTGTTGGACGCTACAGGAAGCTCACTTCAATTTGATACCATAAAGAATTGAGTGGGAAAAACCTGAAAATCTTAGGATTTTGTCAGGTGAAGATTTTTAGTCACAGGCCTCTTGATAGTCTTAACAACAATGTCGAAATCACTAATCTAACTTGTGCCTGATTGCTATCAAGTAATACACTGCATCTTCTTTAAGAGGAGATCCTTTCTTCTCATTAGTGGCTTTTGTTTATCATTGTAAACCAAGTAGGCCCTAAATCCTAAGGAAGAGGATGGTGACAGCAAATTATCACAACTGTGTTCTGGTAGTGGTTGGCACTGCTGACTATACAAGCCACTGTTGTGTAAGCAAACCACTATATTGCCCGTACACATTGAAAGGCACCTAGATCTGTCTGACAAACCCAATGCTAGCTCAATGTTTGTCTTTGTGCCCATGTGGCCATGTCGCTATCTTTCCACAGTGCCAGTCATGGACATCCTCAAGGCTGAACTGAACCACATTCTTAGTTGATAGCCCTCATCACCAATGAGCTACCCGCTGCTGGCAAATAACTGAGGGACATGCGACGGGCATAGGCTTCAAGCCTCTGTGGCATCTTCCACAATTTCTTGCACAGACGTGTGTGAAAAACTTCTCGCGGTGACACACCAGCTAAAGATTGAGGGAGTGGAATCCATTTCAGTTTAGCAATACTCCTGAGGGTGCCTTGATTGCCACACCTTTTCGGTCCAGATCTCTCTAACAGTGGGAACCAGTGACTGCACCAAGTAGAAGAGCTCTGTGTATGTGTACGACCCACCCCATCTACCTCAAAGTGGTGCCCTTGGCAAGCATGGCATTATTCTCCCAGGAGGTAGGCTTGTGGGCTATGGGATTGTGAAAAACTATGGATGCCCTCAGCAGATTCTTGGAAGGAGCTGGAGATGATTCAATAATTGTAACTACATGAAAAAGATTGCAATCTTAGATCTCTCTCAATCTTGAAATCTGCTTATGTATGATAAGAAAGTGAAATTTGAGGCTCCATTTGGCTAGGTGTGGTTTGTGATGTCCAGTACCGAGATTCATGCTTGGTGATACATCCATTTTCAGTTTTTAGTTTCTTTGTAACAATTGTACAACTGGGGAGTTTGTGATCACACCTCAATAAAGAGACAGCCAATTTGCTGTGTAGAGTCACACATTTGCCAGCCTCCATGAAGACAGATTTCTCTCTTAAAATACATTACTGAACCAGATGAACTTTTAATGGCTGTGTGATGAAAATAATCCTAACAATACATTTCCTATTGTCATTTTCGTTAGGAGAATGGTTTTGCGCCGTTCTAGTTCAATTGAAGAGACTGGGGATGTAATCTGGTATTTAGCTCTCTGTCTGCTTCTGGCCTGGCTGATCGTTGGAGCTGCCCTATCAAAAGGAATAAGATCTTCAGGAAAGGTAAGTGATCGATGATGAATAGAATTAATGTCAGTGACAGCGTGCAGATTTCTGTAACAATAAAACTAGAATTTATGAATCATTTTGTGAAGTAGCTGGTTTATCTTCCAGGTGAAGTTAACAGTGTCTCTTTGAGGAGTGGGAGATCCATAATTCATCAACACTACAGGCCTGAGGGAGATCTGAAGATCTTTCTACTGAGGGAAAGAAAAGCAGCAATTCCCCCAAGTCCCTGCAATGTCTCCCTCATTCTAAGGGTTACAGTCACTGATACAGGGACTCTGGGGGAAGCTGGGTAGCAAAGTGGTCGATAGCATTATGTTAACAGTTTATTTAAACATGAATGGAAAAGTGACCTGCAGATGCGAGGGCTGACATATCTTCTTCACACCCTATTCTAACCTTCTTTTTAAATGTATTTCCATGCAAAGATTAGAAATGAATAGAATAATACTGTCTTATTTAAATTCACTGTTACATTTTACTGGGGGTGGCATGCTTGACACAAATACCTGCTATTTCCAGAAGCAAAAATCTAATCAGTTTCTCTCCATGCTCAGGTTGTTTATTTCACTGCGACATTCCCGTATGTGGTTCTGACCATACTCCTGATTCGAGGGGTTACCCTGGAAGGAGCCTATAAGGGGATTGAATTCTACGTTGGAAAGCAGTTAGAATTCTCAAAGCTGGCTGACGCAGAGGTAAACACATCTGAATAATCCATGCAATTTCAGCTGGAATTTTGTGTCAAAATTTCTGTTTATTTCACGTTTCTGTTTGTTTACCTCTTAGTGCTCAAGATAATTGAGAAAGGCTCAAGTGTTCATTTTGGATTGTTGTTCAAAGTCAAAATTTCAGTCATTGCTTTTTGATGCAGAAAGTGAATCGGTGGTGGTTATTGTCCTTCATTTCAAGGAATATAGCCTTATTCCTTAATTTATGTTCATAGTCATTTGTTAGTTGCTCTGGACCCAGTTATCTAAAACTTTATCATAGATTTTTCAAAAACCTTTGATAAGGTTTCAGAGGCCTTAATCTTGTCTACTCTTTTAACATGACCATCCTTTAATAAATCCTTGTTAACTGTTGGAATAACTGCACAGAGGCTGGTATCCAGTCACCAAGTGACCCTTTATTTACATTTGCACAGTACATTGGCTGTGGCCTGGAGTCAGTCCCTGAACTGAGGAGATTCTGAGTGCCCTGATTATTCATTGGTCAGCCAGGGCTCCCTGGTTGGCCCAGAGTAACAACGCCAATCAAGGATCTTATAGCCAATGAGATCCACCTGGTTCCAATCACCACAACTATTTACATCGTATTTTCTTGTTCAATTAGCTCATCTTTCAGAAAATATTCCTATATTGTTCTTTGCACTCATCTTATTATATGGTTAACTTTCCTCCAGATATTCTATTTCCCTTTCTGGAAGGCTGGAGTTACATTTGCCATTTGTCATTTCTCAATATGCTTTTTTAAAATCAATATATAAATAAACAAGGCTTTCCTTTCTCCTGCCTTGTTCCTTTAATTATTTGCTGGTATTCCATCTAAACCTGGGATCTTAACTGCCTAAATTTTGATTAGCTTGTCCTGTACTTTATTCCTTTATTTCTTAACATTTCTGAAAAGTCTCTTTGCTTTGGCTATTGTCATTTGTCCTTTGTTATCCTCTTCAGTAAAAACCTGAGGCAAAGGCTAAGTTATTCCCCATTATCATCCTCTCTTTCATATGAGCTCTATTCATTTTCTGTTTAAATATTATTTTATCTCAGGGTCAATATTTCTGCCTAGTCCACCACCATTCCTTCCCATCATAAATATATTTTAATACTCATACTGTATGATGTCCATTTGCTACTCATTACCTTAATCCTTATTATAACACGATTGTTGCTCCATATGTTTACTCACATTTTTACTGCTTCATTTATTTTAATTAGATTGAGTAATGCTTCATTGTTATCCTTAATGGTGGTGATAGCCTTCCATTCCTTAAACTAATGGCACCAAACTAGTCAATCTCTCACCCTCAATAAGTTTGAAAAAAACATGGTTATCACTTGTGGGTCTTTGTATTGTATTCAAAATCTTTTCTTAATTGCTTTTGAAAAAAAATGTAGAATGGGAGTGGACAAGTGGATAGTAAAGAGGTAAGTTATTTACTAGAAAGCATGGCTGATGTTGAAAACCATCGTATCTCCTGGAGGGAAATTAGCAATTAGTTCACAGTTTCAACTGAAATCTCCCTGTGCTGATGATTTCTCCCTTCTATTTACCAGGTCTGGAAAGATGCTGCAACACAAATTTTCTATTCTCTTGCAGTAGGTTGGGGCAGTTTAATAACACTGTCATCCTACAATAAATTCCACAACAACTGTTACACAGATACCATTGTCGTCTGTGTTGTTAATTGCGCTACGAGTGTGTTTGCTGGATTTGTCATCTTTTCCATCCTTGGACACATGGCTCATAGACAAGACAAACTTGTTTCAGAGGTTATCCAGTCAGGTAACTGCAGAGTCACATTTACTGTCTTTCTGTTAAAATATTTTTCAACTCATGATTGCAACTGTTTGGATTTTTCGACCTCTTACTATCCACTCTGCTGAAAAGAAACACAAAGTCAATTTTTTTTTGTATTGCACTCGTCAAGACTGTACACAAGAAACTAAACTTGGAAAGGGAGCACTAATTTATACATCATGGGAAGAGATTGTTATTTGGTTGTACTGTGTTTGGGAGCAGAAGCTGTTAGCTGTCGATCTTAGCTGGAAAATGTTTGGTAGACAGACTGATTGGTTAGGATGTTGTCATGGGGACTGCTGCAGGGATTGGCATTTTCCATGACTCTTTCCTCAATGAAAATTTTACAATGTATGGCCAGATTCCTTTTGGCATTATAAAACTAGGTTGCGTGCTAATCTAACACTCCATCCATTCCCCACGGGACCGTTTTGCATGCTACCAACCTAAACAATTAGTCTTCCTGCTTGACTGACAGTTAACAGTTCCTGGTGTATTTTCATGCTACATATTGTCCAACCAAACAGTAATATTTTATCATGTTGTACAAACTAGTGTTCCCCATCGAGCTTTGGTTTCTTGCATTTCGGTTCTCATGAGTGTAAGACTAAAGCCTTCAAATTTGAGTCTCTTTTAGGTTTTGTATTTAAGTCCTGTATTGCAGAGGTGAAACCTCTACCAAAAAACAGTAATTCTTGGAGCTGAACAAACTGGGTTACAGGGAATGGGTCTGAGTAGGATGCTGTTCAGTTTGGGCTTGATGGGCCAAATGGCCTGCTTACACACTGTGGGGATTCTATGTTACTGGGTATTTTTCTTGTCCACTCTGTTGACAAATTTTGGAGTCAATTCCATTGAACTAGGGAGGGAAAAAGCAACTGAATAGGAGATGGGAAGAGTGAGAAAATCAGAAATGGAGAGGAAGGAAGAGGGCAAGTGTGAAAAATAAAAGAAGGGGAAAAGTAGGGGATGCAAATGGGGCAGTCATCAAAGAATTTGAGGAGCCAGGAGGAGAGTTATGGAGACGGGTGAGTGATCACGAGAACAGTGCATAGAAATGTTGATACATATGGGAAGCAGAGAGGAAGGTGGGGGCAGTGAGAAGATATGATTAAGAAACAGAAAAGAAGAAGAGGGAAAAAGCTCAGAAGCAAAGCCACATGGAATTGCAAGAGTCAAAGCTACAATACTCTCAGGAGAAACTGGCTAGGTTTGTGGCCAAGCAAAGAGACTGGCGAACGGGATTGGAATATCAATGGGCTGAATGTTTCTGCTAGAGATATGAATTGTGATGGAAGTGAGCCACAAAATATCAGATCCTTTACACAAATACTGAGCAAAATGTGATAGATTTCAACAAATAGATTTCTTAATTACTTATTGAGTGTTAAATTAAAAAGAAATGAAACAGTTTATGAATTACTGTTTTAAGTGCAATTAGTTGACCGTTTCAATTGTATCTAGGTTTTGGTTTGGCTTTCATTGCCTACCCAGAGGCTCTTGCACAGTTGCCATGGGCACCTTTATGGGCCGCGTTGTTTTTCTTCATGCTGATCACTCTGGGACTCAGCAGTCAGTTTGTAGCTGTAGGTAAGAACAATTTTACTTTACTTGCTTTCCACTTTGATTAAAAGGGAGCTATTGCAGTCTGACATTTGAGTCTACACAGGAACCCAATGCTGTATATATAGCACAGGGTTAGGGCCTGGGGAGATTGGCCCAGCTGAGAATATTGCTCACAGCAAAATTGCACATTCTCAGGGAGTCATGACCAATATGTATAAAGGGGACTAGTAATAAGTTTAATGACTCAACCTGCATACACAGGGGATATATTTGTTTCAGACACAAGCTCCTAAGCTCCATATACAAGATTCACTGATAAGGAGGGTGACTCCATAAGCCCACGACCACTTCTATCTAGAAGGACAAGGGCAGCAGACATATGGGAACACCACCACCTCCAAGTTCCCCTCCAAGTCACTCACCATCCTGACCTGGAAATATATCACCGTTCCTTCACTGTTGCTGGGTCAAAATTCTGGAATTCCCTCCCTAATAGCATTGTGGGTCAACCCACAGCAGGAGGACTGCAGCGGTTCAAAAAGGCAGCTCACCACCACCTTCTCAAGGGCAACTAGCAATGGGCAAGAAATGCTGGCTAGCCAGCGACGCCCACATCCCACAAATGAATAAAAAAAAACTCACTTCTCACCTAGAGTAGGCCGATTCAGTATGTACTCTCCTGGCTGTTTGTACATGTATAAATAAGTTCAAATGCAATAAATTTCTAGGCCAGTACCTTAGAAGAGAAACAAAAGACTTGCATTTACCATAACCACTTGATATCTTGAGACATTTAACAATGAAATGCTTTTGATCTGTAATGTAGGAAACAACATTGTTGTAATGTGGGAAATATGGCGACTAATTCTCAGACTGCAAAACCCAACAGCAATGAGGCAAAAACCAGAAAATGTATAGTTTTTCATGTTGATTGACAGGTATCTCCCCTGCCCTTCTACGAAGTAGGATAATTTTTTACATTCATCCAAATAAGCATATATGGACTTGCTTTTGATATTATATCTGAGGATGGCATTTCCCACAATGCAGACCTCCTGCAGTATTGTATTGAAGTAATTTTTGTGTTCCAGCCCTGAGTGAGAAATTACCGGTTGGAGATTGTTGGTTGCGATCTTATGGTGCAATAGATAATGAACCTATTTCTGTGCCAGAGGCTCCAGACTTAAGTGCCATGTCAGGAGCTGATGGCTTTGTTACCCTTGATGCATTTTGAAACATCCTACATATTAGTCTGCATAACACATACCATAGAGAGACAGGTTCTTGTTGAGACAGATGTTTTGAAGTTCATTAGCAACGTTACTATTTACAAGCCTACAATACCATAGAGTTACATACATGGCCTGGGTTCTGTGCTTGTGGATGTTACTGTGCGTAGTATGTACGTTACTGATTGACTGAACAGACTACACTGAACTCATGACACAGTAACTGAAGACGAAGTGGGTCCCTTTATACTGAATGTCATGTGTCATGTAGCCAGTTTAAAGCACATCTCTGTCAGGTCTGGAATCTATGCCATATTATAACAGTCCTGTCTGTTCTTTGGTCTGGAGGGTATGGACTTTTTTGCCTAAGAGGGAGGATGACATTTGTTCCCGGAACTACAAAGCTGATTAATTATTCCCCTCATTTTACTGTTAATTTCATTAGAAGCCATTATAACCTCATTGCTGGACCAGTTCCCTACATTTCTGCGATCAAAGCGCCTTTTTGTGACAGCTGGTGTATGCTTGGCACTCTATCTCCTCAGTGTCCCATGTGTAACACAGGTATGTCATCTTTCAGTATTTTAGTTTTGATTTCACATGCAGAATTCACTGGATTGATGACTTTCATGATGCGAAAGCCTTGTATTTTGGTCCTTTATTTTCCCTACCCACTTCAATGTTATGAAGTGTTCTTAGGGACTGATGATCCTCTATTTAATGCAGAGCCTGGGTAAAGAACTAAAACTCAGCTTTGCCGTCTCTAACTGTCATTGAGAAGATGATGGTGAGTTGCCTTTTTGTAACATTACAGTCCACATGATGCAGGTATCTCCTGAATGCTATGAAACGCTGCAAAGTTACAGGCCATTGACCCGGTAACAATGAAGGAAGGGTAATATGCTAACAGCAATAAGAATATAAGAAAAAGCTACATTCGGCCATTCAGTCCATCCACCCTGTTCTACTCTTCAATAAAATTACAGTTTATGTAATCGTGGTCTGAACTCTGGCCCGCCCTTCCTAACTTTGGTCTCCTTTACGTGTTAAAATTCAGCCTAATTTAACCTTCAATATCATAGAATCTCTACGGTGTGGAAACAGGCCCTTCAGCCCAACAAGTCCACATTACCCCCTCAGAGCATTTACCCAGACCTATCCCACATAACCCACCTAATCTGCATATTCCTTAACACTATGGGCAACTTAGCATGACCAATCCACCTAGCCTGCACACCTTTGGACTGTGGGAGGAAACCCACACAGACACAGGGAAAATGTGCAAACTCCACACAGACAGTTGCCTGAGGGTGGAATCGAACCCAGGTCCCTGGCGCTGTGAGGCAGCAGTGCTAATCGGCCATTGTGCCGCCCTATGATATATATGTTCAATGACTCAGCTTTGACTACTTTCTGGAGATAGGGAATGCCAAAGGTTAATAACATCCTGGGAAAAGAGTTTTTCTTTTTATGCATTCAGAGGATGTGTATATCACTAACCAGGCCAGTATTTATTGCCCATCTCTAGTTGCCCTTGAGAAAGTGACAGTGAACAATCTTCTCGAACCGCTGCAGCCCATTTGGTGCAATGCTGTTAGGGAGGGAGTACCAACATTTGATCGACTGATACCAAAGAAACAGTGATATATTTCCAAGTCAGGATGGTGAGTGGATTGGACGGCAATTTGCAGCTGATGTTGTTTCTATCTACCTACTGCCTTTGCCCTCCTGGTTGGGATTGCTTATGGTAATGGAAGGTGCTGCCTAAGGATCTTTGGAGAAGTTCTGTCATGCATCTTGTAGTTGGTACACACTGCTACTACTGAGAGCCAGTGGGAGATGGAGTGGAGATGTGGTACCGGTCAAGATGGTTCTATTGTCCTGGATAGTGTCATGCTTCTTGAGTGTTGAAAGAACTGCATTTTTTCGGACAAGTGCGGAGTATTCCATCACACTCCTGACTTACTGCTGTCATTGGTGGATAGGCTTTGGGGAAAGTGGAGCTGAGTTACTTGCAGCAGGATTGCTAGCCTCTGACCTATTCTTGCAGCTACATTATTTAAATGGTTAGCTCAATTCATTTTCTGGTCAATGGTAACCCCCAGCGTGTTGATACTGGGGGGATTTAGTGATGGTAATGCCATTGAATATCAAGTGGCGATGGTTAGATTCTCCATTGTTTGGAGATGGTCATTGGCTGGAATTTGTGCAGTGCAAATGTTAATTAGACTGGATATTTCCCAGATCTTGCTGCATTTGAACATGGACTGTTTCAGTATCTGAGGAGTTGTGAATGGTGCTGAACAATATGCAATCATTGGCAAACATCCCCTTTTCTGACCTTAGGAAGGAGGAAGGGTCATTGATGAAGCAGCTAAAGATGTTTAGACCAATGACTCCTAACCTGAGGAGCTCCTGCAGAGATGTTCTGGAGCTGAGATGACTGACCTCCAACAATCACAACTGTCTTCCTCTGTGCCAGGTATGAGTTTAACTAACAGAAAGTTTGCTCCCAATACCCATTGATTCCAGCTTTACTGGGTTCCTTGGTGCCACACTTGGTCAAATGCACCCTTGGCCTCAAGGGCTGTCACCCTCACTTTACCTCTGGAATTCAGCACTTTGTCCATATTTGAACTAAGGTTGTGATGAGGTCAGGAGCTGGGTGGCCCTGGTGGACCCCAAACTGGGTATCACTGCTTGATAGCATGGTAGATGACACCTTCCATCACTTTACTGATAAACGAGAGTAGACTGATGGGTTGGAATTGGACAGTTTGGATTTGTCCTGCTTTTTGTGTACAGGACATACTTAAGCAATTTTCCACATTGTTGGGTAGATGCCAACTGTTGTAGCTGTACTGGAACAGCTTGGCTAAGGGAGCGGCGAGTTCTGGAGCACAAGTCTTCAGTGCTATTGCCAGAATGTTGTCAGGGTCCACAGCCTTTGCAGTATCCAGTGACTTTAACTGTGCAGTAAACAGTACGGCAGTTTGAGTGAAGACTTCACCTGAGTGAGACAATAGCTGAGCTATTGGAATGTGGTTCAAAGTGGGAATATAGTGCAAAGGGGGACAGGGCAGCTTGAAATAAGGTCTGCTGCAAGATTTAAGGCCTGAAGAGTAAGTGATGAATGGCAGAAGATAAAAGACACAGATCAAGACACTTACTTGCAGTGAGTCCTGAGGCAGAATGCTGTAAAAAAAAAACCATGACGTTCAGGGAAAAGAGCTGATTGGTGAGTAGGATTGACAATTATTTTTAGACATTAAAATAAAAGTAAAGTATTCTGTTTGAGTTTAGGTCTCTAGTTTTTTTTTCCATTCTGTCAAAAATAGCGAGGAATGAGATTGATACTGGTGATTTATTTCCAAACATAGTGCAATCAAGTATAAAGACCAGGGATTCCAGAGTAATTAACTAATAAATTAACTAAAATGGAGTGGTGATGGCAGAGATGGGCGATGTATTATTGCTGCAGTATGTGTAAGATGATGGACACCAAGGGAATCTGCATTTTTAGCAAATATTTACAACTAATGGAACGTCAGATCCACGTTAATGAGGTGGAGCCCAAGCTACATTAGGGAGGGGAAAGTTACCTGAATACTTAGTCTCAGACAGCAATTATACTGTTCAGAAACATTGGAACAGTCACAGTGGGAGACAATATAATTTGAGATATCTTCGAAAGCAGCTTCCAAATCTGTGACCTCCACTACCTCCAAGATCCTCTGGAAGCCACACACCATCCTGACTTGGAATTGTATTATATTTCCCTTAGTGCCTCTGGGCCATGGTCCTGGAACTCCCTCCCTATCAGCACTTTCTTCCACACTACAAGAGTACAGCGATTTGAGAGGACAGTTCAGCACCACCTTTTCTAGGGCAATCAAGAATGGACAATAAATGCTGATCCAGCCAGCGATGTCAACATTCCATGAACAAGTGAAAAAAAACAAAACTGGTGGTTTATTGCAGAATTTTCCTTTCCCCTGTCTCCATACAGAGTGCAGAAGGTTATTGACTTTTTTCTCCGCACTGTTGGGCATCTCATTTTGCACAAGTGGTAACTCTGAGTCATGCTGCTGTCTCTGCTCAGGCTGATAGGGTCTGGTGGAATGACCTCTCTCTGTGGTCATCAAGGAAGTGAACTGACCATCACTCCATCACCAGAATGTCAATATCCTTCCCTGGGAAGCAAAAACTGAGCTTGGCTTCCTTTTGCACCACGTTTAGGGGTAAGCATGACACTGTGAGGCATTATTCTTGGCTTGTGGTGCCCAGCTGGCCTTTAAATATGGCATCAGAAACTTGGAAACTGGAACATTCTCAGCAGTGGTGAGCACTTCCATCTCACCCGCTGTGAGATTCACTGAGCAAAACATCGCAGCTTGGCTATTTAAATCCTGTGAAGTGGAAGATTGTGCAAAATAACTTATTCCAAACCGTTGGCATGAAACTCCCTTCCACCGCTCTCTCACCATAAATGGGGATTTCCTGACCTTCATGCCTTCGGCATTGCTTATTCTAAATTGAGAGTTTGATTTTTAGTTTTCATATACAGCTCATTTTCGAACATTTATTTGTTTATCCAGGCTGGGATCTACTGGATCAATTTAATTGATCATTTCTGTGCTGGTTGGGGACTCCTTGCAACTGCTCTGGTGGAACTGACTACTTTAAGCTGGATCTATGGTTAGTAGAACCTTTGTTTTGAAAAAAGAAATGAGACAGGCAGTGCTTTCTGCTCCATCTTTAATGGTCTAGCCCTCTTGGGCTGACTGAGTTGTTATTGGGGTCAGTTTAGCCTCAGCCATTTTCCAGCTGGTTGCTGATAGAGACGTCGTACAGCCCTCAGCCCAAATGGAATGAAATGAGACAATTATCAGTTCCTACCAACTATTGAGACAGATGAACCAACAGACACGTTCTGCTTCAGTCTGTTTTCTGGATTTCTTAAGATGGCTTAGGGGCTGTTTGCTTTTCTGCAGCTCAGGACGGAGGACTCACTTTTCGGTCCATCATGCCCCCATTCTGATAACAGAGGCCTTTCCATCTCAAACAAGATCAGAAATCAGAGCCTCTCCTGGATTAAACACTGATTTTGCAGGGCTTGTGGGCAGATTTTATAGGTAATCAGATTGGTGACAAGGAAAAGGGTGCTTATGCCATTTGAAATCCTGAGTGATCCCTTCTCTGCTTTAACGTGCTCATTAGTGTCACCCAGTACAGGATGAACTTTGACAGTAAACAAGTTACCCTGAAGTCAGGACAAGCAAGTGATAACAAGGTGTAGAGCTAGATGAACACAGCAGGCCAAGCAGCATCAGAGGAGCAGGAAGGCTGACGTTTCGGGTCGAGACCCTTCAGAAATAGGGGAGGGGAAGGGGATTCTGAAATAAATAGGGAGAGGGGGGAGGCAGATAGAAGATGGATAAAGGAGAAGATAGGTGGAGAGGAGT